AACAATTTTTAGTCTCAATCTTTCGATAAATTTGCCTAAGACGAAAAAAAAACACACCAACGAAAGATGTGCGGGTGGACCGAACGCGGGGAGATTGCAAATAACGGGAGTACAAGTAGAGTGAGTAAAGGAAACAAATCATGAGATCGAAAATAGATGAATGTAACCTTTGGCGAAGTGCGGCAGAGCAAAATATTACAAAAGAGTCAAGAATGATTTATGTTTGCGTAAAGTTTTCGCATGTACGCCGAAAAAAAGCAGCTCATTTTACTGTTGCCCTGCAAACATTACGAGGGCAAAACGAAACAGAAATAAAAAAAAGAACAGAAGTATACAAATGGAGATAGAAAAAATGAGACAAGGGCTCTGATGATCATTTGTCTAGGCTCTCTTTGTATTTCCCATTCGATGTATGTGTGTGTGTGTGTGTGTGTGTTTGTGCATGGGGGTCGTTGCCAGCACCGAAAATTCGTTTCAATTTTCAAATATTACATTATTGAATTTCGATGACATTTGCCTTTATGGTTAACATGCATTTACGGCGGCCAATACCACACAAAACATAAAAAGGTATTGTTCGGACCGGTACATAACTGAATTTGAATGAACTGAATTGGAAATAGACATGAATACAAAACGTATAATCTAATAATAAAATCTAAATTTCAAAATTCAAGTTTCAACATTGTTGGGCAAAACCACCTTAATGCAAATCCGCCAGCTATTTTAAATGTGTTCACAATGCTAAATTTGCATTATCGAATCAAGGAGGTGGGGGGTCGTTCCAACAATCCATAATTAATTTTTACACACACCTTCTTCCAGAAGGAAGCATTAAAAAAAGACAGAAACTCAAGTGGATATGCTTTCATAAAAATCTATTTTCATTTGTATTATCGTCATTTCGTCGATTGTGTGTGTGTGCGAGAGAGAAACAGACTCTCTCTCTCTTTTCGATATGCTCCAGAGTTTGGAATTTTTCAAGCATTTCTTTTGTTAAGGTGAACCATTCTAAATAAGCATGTAACACACATGAGCCCCGCCGGGAGGAATAAAACGGATATTTCGAGACAATTGTGGAGTATGATGGTGGTGTCGGTGTTGCCTTTTCGCATTGTTTGTCTTTAATACAATTTCGAACTCAGAAAAGTTAATCCGTAATTTGTTTTAAACTACTTTTTTGCTCATTTGTCTTCTTCTTTTGAGCACTTTCAGTTCGACGAAAGGAAAAATAATCGAATGCGAAGCAACATCCAAAAAGTTGAAAAAGAAGAAGAAAAAATAATAGCATATACAATAATACGATCAACATCCTTTCGTCCTTTGTGTACGGATTGATATACGTGCACATCAATGTTAGTGACAACATTGATGTGTTTCATCGTTTTTCTGAGAGGGAAAAAAAAATTATTTGAAATGCTCGGCCCCCGTGTATGTTGTAAAGAATGAGCGGTGTATAGTGGCATAAGAATGTGGTCGGAAGAACCATTTTTCTTTATCGTTTCCAACAAAATTGAAAATTTGTCGTACTCAAAGGATTTACGATTTAAGATTAACATTATTGTCATTGAATAACCATTTCTCTCTACCTGCGTATGTATGCATGTGTTTTTTCGGTGCGTTCACTATACGGGAACCGATAACTGCCTGTTGTCGGCCAGACAAATGAACGAAAGTAAAAGAGACATAGTAACGAATGAAAGGGAAATATTCATCGTCCCCATCCAATTTCCACGTGGAAAAATACAACGTAAACAATGATAATGATGTTGTGTGTTGTTAGTGGCCCCAAATGGCATACATTGAAAACGAAACGAAAGGACAACGACGAAGAAGCTCAAGTAAGCCCCGATTTTTTTTTTTTTTCAAATTCAACCGGAAGAATTGCATTTTTGTTCAGACCGTTGAGTCGATTTTCATACATGAAATAAGATTTAAAAAGGAAAATTGTTTGACAAACACACAGCAAAGAAAAGAGATGCGAAACACTGGAATTGAATGAATATAAAAAAAAAGAATCGAAAGCCGAATAAGAAAGAAGTCAATGTGATTTAATATATATTCTATGTGTATCGGTTGCGTTGAAAAGCGGTCGCTCAATGAAGAGGCAAGGCCTTTTGTCAACAAAGACAGCATTTTCCAGCTAGATAATATGATAAAATCGCCATCAATCGAGATCATCAACTTTTTTTTATAGGCATTTGAAATGCTGGGCCTCATCAGCCCTTTTTTCACACACACACACACATACAATTTCTGGGCGTACGTGTGTGTTACGCGTTTTTGATCAAAAGAAAAGCAATTTATTGACGATTTTCCTTTTTTTTACATTCTCAATTTCTTTCAGTTGCCGTTTTAGCCAATGGAATGGGCAATTTCCGTAAAAAATTCAAACTTCAAGTCATTTATTCGTGATCGATCGAATGCATTTCATTTATTTTAGATAAATAATAAAAAAAAGCAATCATTGTCAATTGAAATCGCAGAAAGAAAAAAACAGTGAAATATAAAATTCAGTCGACCACTTCACACTGTGAAGTTCACAGTCAAGCCGTTTCCAACTTAATTGCTTACCCAACACGACGTTTTCACACATTGGATTACATTTTATGCAATCAATCAATCGGTTTTATTTCAAAGGGGAGGCATAATTCAAAATTTGGTTGACAATGGAAATTGTTGAAATAAATGAAAAAAACCTCAAAATCGTCCAAGTCAACTAATTGTGTTAAATATAAATCAAAGAATTGTTCGATTTCTCCGAATTCATTGTGTGTTATGTCAGTGTCGTATGTTCGAGACTGTAATAAATTCGTCTAATCGGCAACACAATGCGTGCTTTCTTTAGCATGCACACCAAACGTTTGACAAAATTACACGAAATAAACGGCAAATCATTTGAAGACGAAAGAGAAAGAAACTCAATACAAGAGACATATCGTCTTCGAATTTTCGGGGAAAGAAACCAAAAACGTTTTAATATGATTTTCGCAACATTGGGATTTGAATTTCGATTCGAATATAATGTCTGACATTTAGCACAGCGATAACATACATATAGACATATGCATCACATTCAATAAATCTCTTTCTCTCTCTCGCTGCGTAACTCTTCTCGGGCTAATACACACAAGATGTTCAGTTGCTCACCGTTTGCTCTGTTGTCGTTGTCGTCCTAAGTACTTTATAGCATGATGTGTGCTTAAAATTTATATTATAATTTAATACAAAAATCTCTGACGTATAACAAACGTGTCCCATGAGTGCTATAGTTATACAAAGCATTTGCGAATTCACATCTTCTACCGAGAGAGCAAAACAAGCGATGCCGCAAAATACGCATCGATACATTTTGTCATACGAGCGAAAGCAGCGCGCTGCATAAATAACAACAACTCAAAATTGACAATGTTCACACAGTTAAGTCGTGCATCAATTCGAACTGTAACATGTACATATGATCCATACGGTACATATGGTGAATGAAATCTTATTCCAAAGAAAAAACCGTCACACAAAGATTTCGTTCGTCTTGAGCAAATATTTGAGTTGTTTGTTTTTCAAATGTCAATGGAATTTTATTTGGTTATTCTTCTGCGCGATATGACGAATGCAGAGAGTTTTCCAAGAAAAACTCAAATAAAAAACCGAATCTCTCATTCAAAATATTTAAATGCGATTTTTTTTGCTTGATAAATTCCAAAATTTAAATTTTATAATGATAATAATTAAATAACAAATCAAAAAATCACGTACTTTCAGGCGAAATATTTGATGAGCGAAAAAAAATGTATATAACTGGTTGAAGTACTTGATTAAATTTCATGGGTCATTCATTCATTCGCTAACCCATTCATCAACCGTATTAGAATGCATGCGCGCAAGCTAATTTAAATAAAAAACAACAGTCGCTGTGGCATCTGTATGTGTGTGTAATATATTTTCAAAATGATTTACCCTCATTACATCAAATGCAAATGTCCATCATTTTCATGTGTGTTTTTCCAGTGTTGTTTATCTATAATTATTATCGTTCGAAATGGTTAATATGTGAGCTGGCGTATGCATGTGTTGACGATAGTTTTTGGCTTCGTACCCGGAAAACATTGATTCATGCTAAAAAAAAATATGTCCAAATATCAAAATTGCCGTCTCGTTATGTATGCATAATGATGGTGATGGTGGTGGTTGTGATTCATGTTCAAATATTTGCGCACAGTCTGTAAATCTGCTTATGTTTTTGTTGACTTTTTTCAGATGGCAGCCGCTCTGTCAGCGTTTAATTATCACGACGTTTACCACAATTAAAATTATTACATTCACAGTTTCACATTGGATTTTGTATTTGGTTTTTATGTGTACTAGACATCAATGAATATTCATGAAATGGAACCATCTGAATCGAAAAGTTACAAATGACACAAACACACACACACATAGGGCGGCTGCCTAGAATGGAGCAACACTCACGTTAATATTTATTTTGATTTAATTATCTATGATTTTGATTTGCAGCTTTGATTGTCTTTGACACATGCCGCTCTGGCGTATATATTGTTGATAAACCCAACCGATCCACATTGCAAATTAATAATGAATGGTAATGTGAAACATCACCAATCGAAGCAATTTCCAAAAGAATTTCACAAAATCATATTGTTTTCATTCAATATAATTGAAGAGGACAAAATACTTGACAACGAAAAGTTGAATATTTTTTTCAGTTCTTTTTTCTTTGTTTTAATTGGTTGAATTCAAGATTTTTTATTCTAGATTGTTAAATTATTTGGATTATAGTTCTCTTTATTAATAAAATGTTTCTCTGTACGTTATTTGTATCTATGAACATTGTTCATTGAACAACGTTATTTGCATCATAGATGATATGAATTGCTGTAGATTTTTTTATCGTGGTCAGAATACTGGAAAAATTAACACAAATATGGATTTGGTTTTTCTATATCTATATAATTTTTATATAAGAAATTTTAAAAAAGTTGTAATTTATGGCAATACAGTTTATTATTTAATTGAACATTTTTTACAACATTTGGGTCGAATAAAATCTAATGAGAAAAATTTAAGTCTATTCAATTGCTATCAAAGAAAGCACAAAAGTTTAATTTACTTTCAGGAACTCCATCCATCCCCATCCGATATATCTCGAAAAAGTATCACAAATTCCATTGAAGATCCATGTCACTAAACGAAAAGTAAATGTGAAGAATTTAAAGAACGATGTCAGTTTTTCATATAACGAGTGAGCCGGCAGTTTTTGACTGAGAGTTTGTCTAACCCTGCATTTGTCATAACTCAGCAGAGTGCGTTTAACTCTCAAACGGCACACTTGCATCTCATGCATGATCGCAAATAAGAATTGAAATATTAAGAACGATAATAATACAAAAAAAGTATTGATCATTCAAAATAATTGGAACATACAATATATTGAACTAACTGGTCATCTGAGCTGACAGTACGTTGGCCAGCTAAATGGGCTAAACCAATAGAAGTTATTGCTATAATGATCAATCCCTATTCGTTTATGTCTTATAGTCGTCAAGAAGTAAAATTATTTTATTTATGATCAATCATTTCTATTAAAACAATAGAAGTGATTCATCATTATCACAATAACTTTTATTAATAACTTTATTTATTGGTTTGATTAATAACTTTTATTGTTTTAGCCCATTTGATTTTTCGGGTGAATCCTTCTATCGTGAATTAAACGTACGTTGTTTTGTTATGATAGTTGTAAATTACCATTTGTACTAAAATCAAATGATCCAGTGACTCCAACGCGTACATCGATATTATTTTCTACATTGCTTTTACCATATCCACTCATATTAATTGGTCCAGTTAATACTGTACCGTCAGAAAAATAAGCACTGCTGACTGGAGCAGCACTAACAAATTGTTGGCTCGTAATTGCCAGTGCCACGAAGACTAAAAAAAATGAATAAGGAAAAATTGTCTGTCAAGAAGAAAAAATTGAAACGAAAATTATCAAATGAATATTCCAAGAAATAAATTAATCAGTGAAAATATACAAATTTGATATTTTTTTATTTGAATCTTTGTCGATTCGTAACACGTACCTGGTACATTTTGATTGAAGTATTTAATTTGCTTGACGGAACAAAGAATTGTGTTTTCGACTAAATGACAACCTCGATACTGTATGACTTCCATACAAGAGCACCAAATTTGTATACCATTTTTCAAAGGTCCATATCGTCATTCACATGCTTATCATCCGAAAATTGAACTCGATTACCATGCGAAACTGAACGGGCATAGCAAGCGTTTTGAAAAAAATCTTTAAATATTGTTTGTTTGTATGGGCTAATCAATGTGAGATGAAATTTGAACTCAAATTGATAATCAAGGAAAAAAATTCACAGAATTTCACATGTTTTTTTCGATTCGATTTATTTGAAGAGGAAAAAAAATCTTGATAACAAAAGTTTGAACATTCTTGTCTTTTCTTTTTGGCTTTAATTACACCAATTGAAATATTATCCATTATTTTCATTTTATTAGCGAAATTTATGTAAAACGTATAGTCGTTGACAAAACAATGTTCCAAAAATACATACAAAAATACAAACACTAAAGCAGCATTTTCTGTAGCTTATTTGTATGTTGATGTTTGTTTTCATTTGTATTAGTTCATCTAATTGCGTATATACAAATTATGAATTCCATGAGTTTCAAGTTATCCATTTGGTGCCTCAAAATTTTAAGCATTGCATTGGTTCAGTGGTTACGCTTACGGTGCATGACACTGAAAGTCTCAGGTTCGATTCCGTGTGAAAACAATTTTTTTTCTTTCATCTTTTTTTCTTATTTTTTTTATTTCATAGTTTTTTTGCATTGCTCCTAATTTTTGTTATATTTTTTCGAATTGCTCTATTTACGTAGGTTGCTCCATAATTTTTTTTAAAATGATACTTATACTGTTGCCCGATGTAAACCATTGTCATATTCGTAAAGTTTGATGTTTT